AGCTTATTTAAGCATTCTGCTTATATATTATTTCTGTTGCGGGAAAACTCGGCCAACTGACAACCGACAAGGCAATGTGTCAACCCAAAAAGCCGAGAAAAAGCAGGAGGCAAAATGAGGCGAAACAGCATAAAGAAGCAGGCCAAAAAGAAAAGCCAGATGAAAAACTGGGAGCTCTGGAGTTCTGAGTTCTGGACCCGGGTCCTAGTGCTTTTTCTCATACCTGTGGTGGCAGCCAGAGAGTTGACTACTTCTTTTCAGTTAGCACTGACTCCTGAAATTAGTTTGGGCTTAAATATGCAAACTTCCAAATGAAATGGAATGGAAATTGGACAGGCAAGCTGGGTCAAAAAGGAAATTGTCTGGAAGAAATTGAAAGCCAAAGAAATATACATAAAATTATAGAGTCAAAAAGTTGAGGGAACTTTAAAGAAAGTATTATCATAGGTAATTTAATCTCTGTTTATTAAGGAAATATTTGTTTTGTTTCTTTTGTGTTTTTACAAAGGGCACTTTTAAACATAAGCCCCAAATTAATACATATACAAATAAAAGTTTTAGATTATCCCAAATTAGTTGTTATCCATCAATCTCTTCGACATACTAAAACCAAAATAGATTTCATTGATACCATCTATTTTTCTTGACTTTCGTTCTGCACTTGACAGCCACATTGAAGGAGGCCAAATCAACTACAATTCATCACCAACTGCCTGACATAAAACCACTCTGCTATGTCCACCAACTTCCACCATTTCCCCTTTTCCCTTCTGCGGAAAATTGCCCTCCAAGCGAACTTTGGCCTGCATAATTAATGAATGTACACATGCATAATTATAATTACCAGCAGCCAGCAGCGACTAACTGCCAACTTACATGGGTGGGGGTTGAGCAGGGGTCGAAGGGAGGGGTGCTTGATGAAGTCACATTGCTCAAAGGAAACAACAAGAATAACAAAAAAGCAACAAAACAACTTCATCGAAAATTCAAACCAATTGGCAATTTGCGAGCCAGCTTTTTGTACTCAAAAAGCCCCAAGCCCAGCCCCTTTTTAGCCATGAGCCGACCCCCCCCAAACGGATTTGAACCATGTTAATTAGCTGTTGGTTGGGTAGAGAAGAGCCGTCTGGTTTTAAAGGGCGTGTAACTGTATAAAACTGCAGTGAAATTGTTCAAATAGGAACCAGACAAACAACGACCAAAACAATGGAAGTGGAATTGGTACATGGAAAAAAATTAGACCCATATAGGAAATGATTTTATTCAAAGGAAATCTCATATCAAAAACTAAATTTAACATTAAATATTGCTTTTATTGGGATTAACTTTATATAATACAAATATCAAAAGCTGAAATTGTTTTTTTTTTAATATTATGGACTTTAATGGTAACAACTTTAAGGGTCCTTACTATTGGATGTAAGAATTGAAGAAAATATTGGGAGATTATAAAAAAATGCCCCGAAAGGTAATACTTTATGAATTCTCTATCTAAGGAATCAAGATCTAAAGACTTTTGTAGGAGATAGTGATCATATCATAAAGTTTGAAGGACCAATTTTTTTTCTGTGCATAAACACTGGGCTTAATCACGTCCTCTTCGCCCCGTTTTTGACCTAGCTTGATTACTGAATAATTGAGTGCTGCGTATAATGAAATTCGTATTCAAAATTCGTCGTCATTCAGCTGCCGCCGCTGAATCAGAATCTGACTAAATGTTTGTCGAGCCAAGGGGCTTGGAGTGGGTTGAGGAGGGGGTTTATGGGAGTGGGTGGCCGGGGGGGTTTTAGGGGCTGACTGGAAGGGGCGAGGCTTTCAGAGGTGAGTAAGTGCGTTTGTGTGTGCGTTGCTGTGTCTGTGTTTGGTTTGCGTAGCCGACTTGCATACGTAATGCTCTGCCTCCCTTTTCTCCAACCCCCTGTCGACCCGCCACCCCCTTTCGCCATGAAACCGCTTTGGAACACTGGTACTGGTACTGCCAACCCCCAGCCATCATCATCGCAACATCATTCAACGCTTTTATAGCCATTCAACTTGACGCATCCGTTTTGGCCAAACTTTTTGGCCTGGGCCGCAGCTGAATGGGCCACGAGGCCATGAGCCAAGTTCCACGGGCGGCTGCTGCTGGTAACGAGTGGGTGGTTTAAGAGGTTTTACTCGGAAGGATTGCGGTCATTCCAAGAAACAGGGAATTACTATAGACAGGATGTTGCATATACATATTTCCATATTAATTAGAGGTTACTTGGATATTAGGCGGATTAGGGATTACATTTTTCAATAGAATTTGTTGCTATAAATTAACTATTCATTAAAAAAAGGATATGTTTTTTGTTTCTCTTAAAAAAAGGCTTGAATAAAATTTAATACGTTTAATAGGGCGGTATATTACTCTCAATAATCCAAACTGTTATTAAATTTGGTAGAAATATATTTTTTTACCAAATTTCTATAAAATATTTACTTATCTTATGCGCCAACTCTTGATAGACCACATTTTTTAATCCAAAGATACGAATTATTTTTGGTTTTTTATACCATTTTTGAAGTAATCCGTAAGGCAACCCTCGCCGGAAGTTAAATGGGAATTGCAGCATGGTACTTGGTATAGGGGACTAGGCAAGGGAATAGAAGGAGCAGAACCAGGAGCGGATTCTACCCTATATATAAGGAGTGTTGGAGCGTTATCCAGCGAACTCCAAGAGCGTCTAACAAGTCGCGTTCACTTCATTATGTGGACTCTCCTTCGTATTACCGCGTTAATGTCGCTTTTCACTTTCTCACTCGTTGACTGTCTCTTTTCTCCAGCTCTGACCCCCTCTTTCGCTTGGTTCATATAAATTGTTTTGGGATTTAGTCGCACGATTTTCCTGCCTTTCCCGAGCCCCTCCACCAACCCAACCATTGTCAATCCCCACCAGACTCGGCTCACAGCTCCGGCTCATTATTGTCGTCGGTTCGTTTCTGTTCTTTGTTTAATGACATCATTTTGTATGAAAAATTGTAGTTGCATACAGAGTGGAATACGGATAGGGGAGGGGTTGGGAAGGATAGGGTCGGGTAAGCCCTGACAAAATTATAAAGTTCAGCAATGATTAATGTCGGTGCTCCCTCCCTGACTTCCTATCACGCATATATCGCCTGCGTAATAATCCTTGTCATGAAATATTCCGGCAGAGACATGAACACTGCTTAATAAAATTAAAAAAAAGGAATGAGGAGACAGAGATAAAAAGTTCTTCATTTTTTTAAACTTATTTTTGGTAGCAAATCCGAAGTCACGTTTCTCAAAGGAAAATGTATGAAAAGCAAGTAGAAATGTGAATAAAATGACAGACACGCGTTGGGGGAATCACAAATTAAATGTGTTGACAGCATTGGAAAAACGACAAGTAAAACTTGATAAAACAAATTTGACTACATTTCCGAGTGAGTACTAATTGGGAATCCAAAGGAGCGATAAGAAATCAAAGGACTCAAAACATCATTATTAAACTTCAGTAATACAAAGCTAAGAAATTTTTGGAAAATATAGTACGCCTTTAATACGCGTGGCTCAACAAATTCGGTTCATTATTTATAAGCCCCCATCTTAATAAAAGCCCACACGATAGAATTACTAAGAGTATCCTTCAAACTTCGTTCCACTTTCCAGCCTTCATGTGTAATGAATCTGTTATCTTGATTGTCTTTGCAAGCACGTTCTAAAACCCTTTTGTGGTAATATTCTCACACTCTAATATAGATATGAATCCCAAGTCATTAACCACAAAATGGTGATGAGGACGATGATGAGGCAAGATTCCAACCGCACACATCTTATACGAGCGTATAGCTCATTTCTCAAATTTGAGTAACAATAAAACAGAATAGTCCCTGACAGACCAGAAAATTCGTTAGTTTCCTTTTCTCTTAAAGCACCGACAGAGGACTTTTGGCCGATATTTGCCAAGAGGCGTGCAAACAGGGTGCTGCGTGCATTGTGTGCACATTAAATACCGCATAAATTAAATTAATTGCCAAAGTTTATTTTTATTGCTTTAACAAGGCCAAAAAGCGGAGGGAAAAGTGGGCGGGTGTGTAATCACTTCTCATTGTGTACCAATCTCGGCACAGTCTCGGCGAAAACTTTTCAACACTTTGCTATGCAAGGGGGGCTATTTTCCTGAGGGATGGAGTGTGGCATCTTGCGGTGGCACATTTAAAATTTAAATGGGTTCAAAGTGAGCATTCGCCTTTATAAAAGCCCATTGTAACCTTCAAACCAACCATTTTATTCCTGCTAATGAGTGGCAACCCTAGCGTCAACCGCAGGAGTGTAACGGTAAAATATAAATGTCAAACTCTGGAGCAGCTGTCAGTGGTCCCAAGTTACAATAATGGGAACATACGAAGGTCAGAACCGGAAATTAAATTGTTAAAAATTACGTTATTGGAGTTTTTACAACCGGGACCAAAATGTGATTATAAAAATACATTTTCCTTCAATGGTAAAAGTTTTAGAAATTAATTTTCAGACAATAAGAATTCATGAAATTCACCGCATAAGCGCTTTCAGAGAGCGTTATGTTTTCTACCAAATTTTCATGAAAATCCATGCAAATATGAAATTTCCCCAGTCTGCAGTCGAATTAATTGTCCCCCTGGTGAAATGAGGGTGAAAAAATGGGTCGAAGGGAGCTCTGCGAACAAACATCTAACTGTCTTTTTGGCAACTTTACTCTCCCACTGGGTGCAATTAAAAATTATGTTTATATTTATTTTCCACTCCCTTTTCTCGGTTAACAATTCGCCTGAAATGACACTCAAAAAAAGGCAAATAAGCCAACTATGGAAGGGAAACGGAAATGAAAATACAAAATGGACGTCAATGTTGACAGCTGACATGGCGGTGGTTTTGTCCTCCTTTGGCTTACAGAGAAGCAGTGAAGGGTTTTAACTTAACCGCTTACAAGGATACCCTTAATCGGTAGGGTATATATAAAGAAATATTTGATTACCTTTTATTAAGAGTAATTCCTGTGATTCAATTAAGTTTATACAACAGAATACGAGTCCATGGAAGCTAAAAGTAGAACGAACGCATGATTTTATTAATAGAAACATGAAAGCTATTAAATATTATATCAATAAGAAAGCTATTAAATATTATATCAATATTTACACACCCACGAATCAATAAAATGAATAGTATGCATCGTATTAACCCAGTTGATTCCGAACCTCAGTCGATGTCATTGTCCGCGTATCAGTTAAAATCACATTACATAGCTCTTATGCCGTATAATAACATAAAACTTCGGTTTCGGTCGAAGGGGGCCGTAAACTTTTAATTCGTAATGCTTTTGTTTTCACTTTTTTATGTAGTTGGTTTCCAGCGAAAAATCAGCAACTACATGAAAAACCCATAAGCTCAGATCTCCATTCTCAGGTCTCCGCGACCAACTCGTACTTCACTGTTGCTATTGTTATACCGGCTGCCCATTTCGCCGTATTTGGGTAGTGGCAGTGGAAGGGGGACAGCGGCGACGACACCAATATGCATTTATACGAGGCATCGGCTGCAGATGCGAAAACATCAGCAAACAGCAAAAGAAACAGAAACAGAATCAGAAACGTTGCAGAAATAAAACAGAGAGCGGAATAAAAACAGAAAGAGATCTCGAAAAAACACCGAAACACAATGCGTTTATTTGGTTTGCGGGGTTTCCAGGGTTTTCAGGCTTTTCGAAGGGGGGCGAAATGCATGGTAGGGGTGTCTACGGAGTTCTATAAGCTGCGCTTTATAACTCATATGGGCTTGTTATGTGCCATGTTATCGTCTTGTTGTTGTACGCATTTGTCTTGATACCCAACTCGTTTTTCGCTGCCTTTTCGGGCTTTTTAATGCGGAGGTTCAGGAAGGGTATATAAAAGGGTATACGAGATTATTCGTAGAGCTCTTAAATAATCGATAAAAATTATATGATATATGATATGATTTGATATGATATCATTTTTTTTCCACATAGAATCTATAAAACCTGAGGTACATATGTGTATATCACCTTTATTAAAGATATAAAAATATCTTTGGACTCGGATACCTTTTAAGAGATCGATAATCACTGCCTTCTCTTCTCCGCATCTCCTTTTGATAAACGTTCCAATAGCATCTAACGATCGATTGATCACCTCCTTTGTATAACAGGGCAGTGTCCAGTCCATCTATGGTTCAGGTCCGCCTCCTTTTCGAGGACGGAGTGGGCGTTGAGGGGGGAGGTGGGATCAGCGGAACGGGAGCGTAGCAGACAGGGAAAAATGCTGTTAAACAAGTTTCGGGTTTTCAGTTCTCGTTTTTTTTTTAGCCCCAAGCCTGCAGCCTGACGAGTGCGTGCCGTATGCCCGGCATGGGAATGAGAATTGGTTTTAACGTTCTCCTCTTTTTTCGCCACCTTTTTTTTACCATTTTTTTCTGTCTGGGAGGCGAACAAAGTGCAGAGGCACTTAATAAGCAAAGTGTTTGCCCTGCATCAGCAACAGAAACTCGTTTATTTAACACTCCCGACAACTTGTAGGTACTATGCCTTATCGATATTACTAAATTAAAACTCCCAAAGCCAGGCAAACAAGCATACATTGTAGCTGAGATAGGAGATACAAACTTGTCATCAGCATAAGGAGATGGAAGCAGAAGTTTTCCGCCCAGAATTCAATTTGAGATGCCACAGCAACGACAAACAAATTGAAGCTGCCCCCAAAAAGGCGAGGGAAAAGTCGAACTCAAATCTGGAGGGAAGAATGAACTTCGCGCTTCAGAGATTTGCTGACTTGCTGGGTAAAGTTTTTATGGCACACCCTCCACCCTAGTAGTCCATAAATTACGTTACGTATACGCCACGTTGGCGAAACACATAAAGTATTCGCCTTATGAATATAAAAAGAAGTAAACGCAGTAAATTAGGCGAAAAATTCAATAATTTTGCCAGCCAAATGGGGACAGCAAACACGGAGGGGAGTGTAAACGACCCGAGTGTTTGAGGTTTGTGCCCTTGAGTGGCAAACTCAAGAGGGTAAACATTCTGAGGGATGCCGATAGCAGGGAACATTAGGTAAGAAGAAAAACATTTAGAGTGGTCTCTAACGGGCATCAAGATTGTTTAATTTAAAGAAGTTTAAATATACATTATTTAAAGTATGGTAAAACATTCATTACATACTTTAAAGTTTACAAATTTACAGCCTTCAAAACTCCATCTGGCTATTAATTACCCCCTGAACTTCTTTACTATCAATTTCCTTCGGTTAACCGCTTAATCTTTATCACACTGTTCTATAAAATACAAAGCTGAGAAGAAAACTCTCCACTAAGTTGCCACACATTTTGGCCTCCTGCCAGCCTTAATTGGCCTGGCTAGCACGAAAGTGGAAAGCAGGCAACACCCAAAACTAAATTACACAATTAATAAGCGCAGCCAACAAACCAGAACACCAACAAACCAAGGCAAACAACAAGAACAACAGCACATAATAACCGCAACATTTAAGGCAAAAATCTGCAATTAAGGAGAGGGCCAAAAAAGGCAATGGTTTGGCGGATATGGGTCCAGGGTCCCGAGGAGCGAATGCGTGGGAAAGTAACCATAACCCGCTGCGCCTGGTCAAAAACTCGACTCCTATCCGAAAAGCGACTCAAAAATTAATCAGGCGAACATAATGCAGCAAGCCAGATGAGGCAAAGAAATGCGATAAAAACGAAATGCGAATCTTGAATGTATTTCGCAGGGCATACGTACATATATAGATAATGAAATACGAGGCTTCCGCAAGAGTAAAACCAACCGCAGCCGAACAAACCACTATGCTCCACCATCCCAGAATAAAGTTTCCTTCCATTCGCCCCGAACCCTTCTCCATGGGCCCCATATTTTCGTCCTGGTCCGAGGGCAGACAGGCCAAAATAATGGAGCCAATGGCCATGGAACCGAACAACAGAAACTACAGTGAAAGCACCCAAAAATGGTTAACAAAGCAAAACATAAACAAAATTCCCTGCGAATTCGTAATACCCTGAGGGTATACCAAAGCAATACCGAAAGTCTGTGGTTTTAGCAATGATGCACCGATATTTTGATATCCTTTTCAAATTGAGAGATCTAACTAGAAGTTCTAATGGCGGGAACATACTTATTAAGATATTTCAAAACCTTTTCTAAGTTTATGTAAGTTTTCGTAATATTAATCATTCTTTTTTCTGGGTGTATAATACACACTTTGATTGAGTTCTACACTTAAATTTTGTTATAATGTAGTTAATCAATAATTTGTTATCTCGAAACGAAATAATATGAAGCATCTTTAAGGTAATGAAGCAAGAAAAGGTTTGTCAATATTAAAAAGGTTCCTAATATTAACTAAAGATTCCCAAGTTCATGTTCTAAGGACTTATTCCCCTTCTCCAAATAGTTCAAGTACTCCTTGCCGGAAGTGTAGCTGCAAACAAATAAAGTAACCAAGAGACCACGAAGACAAGGACGACAAGGAAAAAGCTCATAACCGAGGTCCTGGTGCTTGGCATTTTTGGGCAGCAGCTGCCAGACAATGCCACGCCCCCGCCTAAGCACATATGTGGGCGGTAGTAGGGGTGTTGGGTGGTGAAAACTCCCCGAATGCAATGGCTGCCCCTAGGGAGGAAAAGGGGGCTGGTCGAGAGGGGAGCACAAGATATGGCCATAGACAAGTGCTCGACTTTCTTATCTGCAGGAGGGAGAGTTTTCCCTTGCCTCGTTTGTTTTTCCCAGCGCATGAAATAGCAAACATTTTCCCCAAGTCATCTCAAAAGTTGAAAATGGCCAAAAAATAAAATAATAAAACGGAAGTCCTTCGTTGCTCAGCCAATACTCATTAGATTTGTGCAAATACTTGGCTGGCACCCCCCTTTTCCCCCATCCAATCTACTAATGATGGGTGCCCGCCCAATACCCCCCTTTTCCATTCTCAAAAGTAATTCCACTGCTTACGCAATTTTTCATTTCGCGCTCGCTGCGCAAATAAATCAGAAAATTCCCAATTTTTTTAACGAGCCACCAACATTTTCCCATTGACTTTTGGCTGGCTGTTCCCTCCTTCTTTTGGGGGGGATGTTAGTGCACTGGGCGTGACCTGCAATGTTAAGGCAAATAAATCGTTCAAGTTTTCGGTTTCCATTCCAATTGAATGTAATCAATGCCGAGCACTTCACATCTCAAATATGTTTGCTATTACCCGGTGTATTTTGGGCCAGTCGAGTAGGACTTTGACTGATATAAGTTGCTCTTTTCAGGCCAAAAGTCAGGGGCTAAAGGCCAAGTGGCATTTGCCAGGCTTACAGCAATCATAAAATATTCAACGACAGGCTTAGAATCTAAGTCACACTTTTGAAGAGCTTCGTTATTTTACACCTTTGGATGGGTTCTGTATTGAAATGTGGATAAATCCAGTTCTAAATTGAACTTTAAATTATAAAGTAGGATTTAAAAGAACTGTTTTATTTTCAAACAAAATAGTATAGGGGCTTCATTTTCTTGCAGGTTACAACTTGTGACATCTATTTAGGGATTTGTTCTCAATTGTCCTGAAGACAAAACCATTACAATTTTCCTGCTTCCTTCCCACATCTTGGTTCCAATCGAGTTGAAATGCCTGCACAATTCTATGCTCGACATTCTTCTCCCGGCTCAGTGAATAATCTTGTTAACATGGTCTTCATGCCCACCACAGTCTCCCGCATTTGGAATTCAATAATTTCCATTTGTTTGCTACATAGTTGCCTGTTTGGCTTGCCCCCTTCTCAATTAGCTACCCTCCGCCCATTGAAATTGCACGAAATGTGCTCACATTTGGCCACAAATTAAACTAAGCCCACTTATGGCAGGAGTCTTGTTTGCTCCTATGCTCCTTGGGCAATGCGAAATCTGTGGATAATGAAATGGGTTTGGAAGGGGGTTTGTATTTGGGAAATATGGAAGGGTCTATAGAGGTGGAGGTTTGTTACCTGATGGGATGGCAGCTAAAGGCGAATGCATTCAAGGAACGGGGCTTTGTATT